ACAACTGTGGATCCTCTTCCCTGCTCTCCCACTCCAGGGTCTCCAACTTTCAATCTAGTTCCATCTTTCACTTTTTTTTATTGAAATATACTTGATTTACAATATTGTGTTAGTTTCTGGTGTACAGCAAGGTGATTCAGTTATATATATGTATTTTCAGATTCTGTTTCATTATAGGTTATTCTAAGATATTGAATATCGTTCTCTGTGCTACACAGTAAATCCTTATTGCTTATCAATTTTATGTGTAGTACTTTGTATCTGTTAATCCCACACACTTAATTTATCCCTCTCTTCCTCTCCTTCTTCCTTTGGCAACCATAAGTTTGTTTTCTATGTCTGTGAATCTGTTGCTGTTTTGTATATAGATTCATTCGTAATAGTTTTCAGATTACACATATAAGCCCATCTTTCACTATTTCATTGGAGTTATTTTATGTTTTTTCCCCTTTCTAAATCTAAATAATAATAATTGACAACTGTGTGGGTTTTAAGAACATGTACAGAGAAAATTCCATCCACTGTCTGAATCAACAAGCACTTACTGAGAACCTTCTTCTGTGTGACAGACATGGTGCCTGGTACCAACCCCAGCAATAAGGACTAAGTCTGGTCCAAGATAACATGGTCAGGATGGGACAGGCTCAGACACAGTCTTCTCATCCTTGATCCTGGGTCCTTTCATCTGCTACAAGGTGGTTCCCTAGGAAGCAGCCCCTGAGATGATGACTGGTGTGCAGGAGGATGTTTATAAGGAGCCCTTGAGACCAAAGCCCTTAGAGGGGGAGGAGAGGAAGCAGGATTGAGTTGAGAGAGAAGTCAAAGGACAAGGAAGTCAAAGGAAGTCTTAAGAGTTCTGAACATGGGATGGTGCCCCAGAACTGCCTGCTTTTGGAGTAAGACTGGTCATTGGAGGTTGTCTGCTGCCGGTCCTCATAGCCTCGGGGAGTGAGTCCTTCAGTCCTGCAGGGAGATTGGGGGGAGGGCGCGTCTCAGCATTCACCACGCCTCTCACCTCGCTCACATTCACTGGAGGTGACTGACCCGACTTGTTGCCTTGAGCCTTGGTATAAGAGCCAGAAGCTCATGGAGACAGACAGCTGAGTCCCTGCAGCAGGACCATCGCCCTTGGTGGTGGCAGAGCAGGAAGGTTCTGGAATGGGCCTGATCAAGTCCCACCAGATAAATGAGCAAAAGCCAAGGCCAGGCCAAGACAGGTAACCCTACTTCTTGCCTCAGCTCTTCCTTTACAGATGCTGTCTCTTTGGCCTGGAACGTTCTTCAGTCTTCAGGTCTCTGTTTACACATGACATCCTCTATGCTGTCTCCTTGGACCCAACCTAAATTAAAATCCTGGAGACACACTTGCTTAATATCCTGTACTTGACCTTTGTCACACTCATTACTCTATGGCCCAATCGGGGACTATTTATTCAATGTTTTCTTTCCTAGTGGGACTTGGGTTCTGGGCCATACCAAGCTGAAAAAACACACGGTGACTTCACACTTCACACCTTAAACCTTCTGCCAATCAGATTCAGGCAGCCCAGTTCCTCACCCCAAATAAGTATCTGTCCTGACCACAGGCCACTAGAGGAAATCTTTAGGTCTGTAGAGAATGCCATGCACCGAGAAAACTACACAAGAGCCAGGTCCCTGAATGAGTCCTGGCTGCCTAGAAGCATCAGAAAAGGCACCAAGGAGAATCCACTCCAGCCATGAGCAGGGAAGGCAACAAGAACTGTAAGGAGGCAAGGGTGGCAGCCTGAGAGTCAGGAGAGCCAAGCTCTTGTCCAAGCTCGGTAGGATCCAGCCATTGCCATACTTCATGACTTCCTCACCAGCAAAAAGAAAAAGTGGGATGAAGTGATCCCATGGAAACCACAGGTTCACAGGAAGGAACTTATGAGCACGAGAACTTGAGTTCCATGTGTTACTTATTCCCCAGCGGCCTCCCAGATGGGCACATGGAGAAGCGGAAGGAAAGACAAACCTTCCAATCTGGCTTATTTGGGAGAAGAGACCCTCGTTCTTAAGAAATTGAGTGGGAGCAACACCCCAGCCTTACCACGCCGTGTGCTCACTGGTACACCGCCGGCATCTATAACACATGTTCTTGTAACTCCTGATGTCGGCGGATAGGCTTCCTTCTGTTCATTGTGAAGGAGTTAGCAGAAGTGAAAGGGTGTGGGTAGCAAGAAATGGGAAAAGCAGGTTTGTCGAGCCCTGTCACTGTGAATGCCCAGTAATTTAAGCTGTGGAATATCAGATAAGCAAACAAATCTCTTAATGGTAGGAAACGATGTCTGGACTCAGCAAACTAAGAAGAGAGATTGGGCCAGCTATTAAAGAGCCCTTTCCTCTCCAGGGACTATCGCTTCTATCTTCTTGTTGATAAAGAAGATGAGTCAGGAGCTTAATTTTACCTGGAACACGAGGCGGTATTGTAGCCACAAGTTCCCAATGTGGAGAAGCCTGATGGAAACACGAATAACGGAATTTGGCAGAAAGGAGGTGGGAAGACCAGAAGCAAGAATCTCAGTGATTCAAGGGGAGAATCAAAGGAGTCAGAGCACACACCACTTCTGGGCTCAGCCTGGAGGGCGTTGGGGCGGGAGGAGGACCCCAGCCGGTGGGGATGCCCGTGGCAGCATCCTCCACAGTCTCCCTTCAGCCTGCACCCTGTCTCTCCAGCTCAGGGGAGGAATCCCATGACAATCCGAACCCATTTTACCACCATTTGATCAAGTCATTTATGTGAAGATTCTTTGTGTATGTATGCCAGGTACGCATCACTTATCAGGCTTACTGTTCCACAGCCTGTCTTCAGAACATTTTTGGGTGTTAGGGGACCAGTGAATGATAATAAAGGTGGTGATGATATCATAATCGTCAGCATAATAGCTAAGTGCCGGAAACACTCCCAAGCACTTTAAGTATATTTTCTCACTTAAATCCTCACCATAGCCCCTTAAGGTAAGTACTATTGTTGCCACTATTTTACAAATAGGAAAACTGAAGCTCAGAGAGTTGAGGTAATCTGCTCAAGGTTTCAAGGCTACTCAGTGGTGAAGCTGGCAGTTCAACCCACAACTATTTGCACTCAGATCCATGTTCTGAGTTAATACCAATGCAGCCAATAGCAGGCATGGGGCATCAAATGAGCGCCCATGAATGCTCAGTTGTCCCAGGCACTGCCTATCAATAATCTCACTTAAATTCAGTAGCCCAAAATGGAGGTACTGTTATTATTGTTCTTTTTAAATTAGTGTTATTATTACAGAAGACAGTGAGACCTGAGAGGTTCAGCAACTTGCCCAAGGAATTCAAGTGGTAGATTTTGGATGCAACCCCAGGCAGTCTGACTCGCAAGCTCACGCTGTTAACCACGAGTTCAGTTCAGAGAGGGTCCTTCTTGCTCGCTGAATCAGTGAAACACTGACTGTGTGTTGGCAATAAACTGAATTCCCAGGGTAGATCCTTTCTGTTCAGCAAGTTCAGTTTTATATTTTATCCACTTCAGCCCTTGCCAGGGGAGCAGAGCTTGGCACCCCGTTGATCAGCAGCAGTGCGGATCTCGGGGCAATTTCTTCTCTCCCCTGCTCACGTTTGGGCTTGAAATATTATTTTTCATCATCAGTCATATTCCAGCAATGCTCCTACGTAAACTGAAGGGTGATGAACTTGTTTTGGCCTCCCTCACCCCATGAAACTGTCTAAACCTTCCTAAAATCGTTATGTGGCCGACTGCATGCTTACTTTGCTCCTGTATACCTGTTGGGATATGAGCCTTGTCACCTGTGAGGGCCAAGCTCTCAAAACAATGCTGGCTATTCTAAGTCGAGTCTGTGACCTGAAGGGCTTTGGGATTTTCTGACACTAGACCTCCTTTGACTCAAAAGCTCTAATCCGCCCCCAGCTCCTTTTCTCCAGTCACAGCATTGCCTCACACTTTTGAAAAGGCCCACTAAAGCGTTTCGAATGTCCACCTCCATTTCCTGTAGCGAGTCTGGGTGTAAGTTTCCTGGAGTCTTATCAGCATGAAGAATCTCAAGCTGCTTCTGACGTCATCTGCCCACCTCCCAAATCCTCCTCGGCAACCCATCATAATTTGATTCCAGATTAAGAAAATACCAGTTCTTCCGTGCAGACAATGCAGCGTGTCCTGAGGGTTTCGCAAGGTCTTTGTCCTTATCTCTCGTATAACACATGATCCTTTGTCATTTAAGAAAGACATTCCTTTTGCGTCCTTACTCTTTTGTTTATTGTTAATTGTTTTTTTTCCTTTGGATGCTTCAAAATGGCCATTTGTCTCTCTCTATGCTTTGTCTTTTTGAACTAAGACTTGGCCAAGCTTTAATTTCCTCATCTGTCAAGGAGTTGAACTAGATCAGGGCCAGAAACCTTTTTCAGCAAAGGACCAGGCAGTAAGTATTTTAGGCTTCTGGGCCATACCATCTCCATGGCAACTACTCAACACTATCACTGCACTGGGAAAACAGCCACAGACAATACCTAAATAAGTGAGCATGGCTATGTGCCAATAAAACTTTATTTATGGGCCGCTGAAATTTAAATTTCATATAATTTTCACCTTTCATGGAATACTATTTTACCAACTGTATAAAAATGTAAAAGCCGTCCCTAGCTTGTGAGATGTATAAAATCAGGCAGTGGGCCAGATTTAGCCTTGGTCTAGATGATTCTAAATTTCCTCCACAGAAGGAAAGAGTGGCTGAGAAAGACAAAGTGACCCATGCTTACACAGCTGGTGGGTGAGGGGCAGTTGGGGACCACAGCGTGAATCTGCTGGCTCACTGTCGGGGTCACCCCCACCACTGAGCACTGCCCCCAGCACGTAAACATACACAACTGGGTTCCATTTATTAGTAGAATGAGATCATTTAAATTTTTTTTTAATTTAATTTTTTAAATTTAATTTTATTGGGGGGGGTAATTAGGTTTATTTATTTATTTATTTATTTATTTATTTATTTATTTATTTATTTATTTTAATAGAAGTGCTGGGGATTGAACCCAGGACCTCGTGCATGCTAACCATGCTCTCTACCACTGAGCTACACCCACCCCCAACTAGAATGACATCATTTTAAAGAGTTACAGGTTTGGGGACCACTCTTTACTTTTTGCCTGGAAATGTTGTATCTTAGTATTTAAGCAAAAATGTGACTATGAATACTTCACTTGAATGAACATATAAACTACTCGCTTCTACAAAACACTAAAGAATTTGCATAGACTATACTCCTGTGGTTATGATTAAGGTCGAATTCAACAATGGCTTAAATCAAGTCAGAGCAATTTACTGATGTTCAACATTTGTGACACTTGAATTAAAAAAATAAGTAAAGAAAGTCAATGTCTCTAGAAAACTCTCCGGGGCGAACTGAATGGAGGTACTAAGTAGAATAATAACCCCACATGTACACGAACCACAGACACAAGCACACGAAAGAAAAATGTTTGGTGCGTCCCCTCAAAGGCTGGTGAGATCAGCACAAATATGTTCAAAATTCCCCCCATCAGCCGCATACAGGCTCTGCCACCTCTACCCTCCAAATACAAAGCGTTCGTGACAAAAGGCCGAATCAATCACAGAGCAGCTAGCTTAAAATCTGAAAGTCTGTTTTAAAATATGTCAGTCATACCATCCAAGCAGATTGATTAGGCAATAAGATAGATCCTGGCAAAAGTCTACATTTTCCTTTAACCTTTTTATCTGCTAAAAATGGGTGAAGTGTTTTAGAGATGTGTGTGTATGTGTGTGTGTGTGTGTGTGTTGGGGTGAGGACTGGGGGTGGCTGCTTTCAACATTCAGTGCTCCCCCTTCCCTTTTTGGTGCCCAGGAAAGTAGGAAGTGGAAATTGGGATAAGAAGGAATTTCATGAAAGACAGAACCTAAAACATGTTTTAGAATGGGAGAGGCGGGAAGAGGAGGCGGCCCAGAGAGAGGAAAGTCTTCCAGCAATTCCCGTCTGCAGCATGGCTTTTAGTTCCTGAATCTTCACACTATTTCAGCAGTTTCTCAACTTCCAGGAGAGTCCTTGCCTTGGCAGCCAACTCTGGCAAGTGATCCAGGGAGAGAAATTACCGCAGAGAGGAGAGATGCCTCGAGTAGCTTTCCAGATGGCCCGCATCTTTCCCTTGTCACGCTGCTGTGGATTACTGGCTCCCTCGCCTTCCTGAACTCTTCCTGGAGCCTGTCTCCACTCACACCTGGGAAGAAGAAAAATTGGAAGTTCTAGCAGAGGCGGCCCCAGTGATGCAAACTCAAGTCTCTACCTACCGGACACAAAGCTGACCTCGTAGCTAGTCAGCAAGCGGCACTAAAGCTCCCAGCCAACAGGCTGGAATCCACCCCTATGTGTGAACCTGACCTTGCAGGTGCCAAACCATTTCCCCCTGCTCCCCAGACTTTTGGGGAGTTCAAGGCTCCGTCTCACAAAAGAAAAGGACCCGTGCTTTTTACTTTGCAGAGGAGGAAATGAGTGGTTTAGCTTGTCTTCTGGGGTAAAGAGGCCCTTGGCCTTGGTTTACCAACTTGAGTGTGGTGGCTGGCCTCCCCCATTCCCTTAACCACACACTTGGAAAGGAGGATGTGGGTGTCCCATGTCCACACAGTCAGAAGCCCTAGACGTTCTCACTTTGTGCTCCCCTGGTTCATTCTTGGGCATATTTGACTCCCAACCTCTCAGTTTTATCCCCCTTTCCCTGCCCATCTCTAGATCTGTGGACTTCTATTCGTGTCTTTATTTCTGCCACCAATATTGGGTGCCACGATGTTCAGGCACTGTGCCAATGTTGGTGGAGAACAAGATAATGGAGGTCCTTGTGCACTTGGGACTTAAAGTTTAGCAATGAACAAGGCAGCAGAGAAATAATTACCTAAGTATTTGCATCCTTACTGTGTGGTGAGTGCTGTGAATATTTGCAGGGAACCTATTCATGCCAGGTTGAGGGTACAATGGTGATAGACACCCCCATTCCTATTTGCATGGAAACAGACCATCAATCACACAATCACACTCATGAGTGCTACCGTTACAGTCTGAGTGAGTAACAGGGGAACCCAGAGTTCTGGGAGTCAGTGGTGGCTTCTGGGAGGCAAAGGTGTCAAGGCAGAGACCTGGGGCCTAGCTAACTGGTTTGGCTTTTCTGCTATATGCTCAGTAGTATATGTGGCCCCAGGAAGCCCTCCATGATGCAAGTTCTGCACCTGCCTTTTAGCTGTATCTGGTCTTGCCAGGGAACTACCTAGACAAGTCCAAACCTTCCCCTGGGACTACCCCAAGGTCCCTGACAGTGAGTTTCTGACTCGAGGACCATCCGACTGCTTCAGCTTTGCTCACCACCCAGCATAGGGCCTCCATGTGGTAGCCACTCACTAAATACTGATATTTAATGTACAGTAAGTAATTTCCACTTATTTGATAAGTAGCTCTGGTCCTTTGTGTGTGTGGGGGGGGGTATGGGGAGTCTCCTCTCACATTATTTGCACACTTGTTTTGCTCTCTGGGGAGAACTTGTTGCTAACTTGCTTCTTAATCTTTAGCTAATTACTGTTCATCCACACAAGGCCAACTGCTCATTCATATGTTAGCCCCTGCGGTGGGTGTCTCATGACTGATGAACAGAAACCCATGGCAGTCCACCCGTCCTGGACGCGGCTGCTTGCTCAAGGGGAGCTTGGGCCCCAGGTTCTCATCCCCCTTTACTACTTATCCTGTTCAGTCCTCGCTCACTGGGAACATTGGCTGGGCTCAGTGAACTAAGAAGCATTCTGAGACCCAGGAACACAAAAGTTCTGGTTGCAGGTCTTCCCCTGAGGGGGTGTTTGAGCAAGCCTCTTAGTGACCTGTTGCACCTCGCCAACAGGAGGAGTCACAGGGCAGCCCTGAGTTGACCCCCCAGTGGGCAGGGAGAATCCTCATTAAGATAATTTGGAGGCATTTAACAGAGATGAAGTTCAGGGTCAGTGGGTAGCATGGTTCCTTGGAGCTTTGAGGAGGAGAGCTGCTGAGGAAGGGAGAGGTGCTCCAGAGCCCAGACGGGGAGGGTCTGAGAGAGGGCAGTGCCTGGCCAGGAGCCGGCCACCTATGCTCACTGGGAAGACACGGCCCCGCCTCTTGGTTTACTTCACAGCTCTTTCACGGAAGTATTTCTGCAAGTAGTCACCCAGTTCTCCTCTTGGGCTTGACAGAAGAACTATCACTCATGTCCCCAGCCGACAGGTGGGCATCCCCTTTTTTGCCAACAACTACTTCCTAATTCTCAAGTTGAATTCAGTCCTTCCTTTTAGGCAAAGGATCTGTAATGACTCGAAGGACTCCCAGAAACTACCCAAACTGCTCAGGTTTGAGCTTTGGGAAGAAGAATTGTTTTAAATCATCTACATAATAGAGCCACATTGTAGAAATAAAATAGAAAAAATTAAGGGAAAACACATATGATCTCGTTAACCTGACATTTTATTATTGTTGCCATTTTGGTGTACTTTCCTCCATCTTCTTCAAATGCATTTCTTTTTTTCACAATGCTAGAATAATGTGCATTAAAGTCAGCATCGTATTTTGCTTTTTGTTTCTATCCAGTCTTCACAATAATGAATTGGAATGGCTAGATACTATTCATTGAAAGAATAGCTCATGTTTATCTTAATTGTCCCTTATGGCTTTACATTTTCTTGCATCCAATTTTTCCACTAGTGGAGTGGCACTGGAAGCAACATTTTTATACAAAATCCATGGTGCAGTCTTAGGAAAGAGCCTGAGTCATGTGGCAAAGTAGCTCTCTCTGCTGAAGGCTGGCTTAAATCAAGGAAGCTTCCTGGGGTATCTGGAGTGAGGCAGTGCTCCATATGGTGGATAAGACTTTGTCCTGGACCCTGAATTTGTAACCTGTCTCATTTCTCATCTCAACAAACACTTGCCTTATGCTCTCTCCACTTCCCTGGACTCACGGTAGATGGAACATGGCCACTCTTGAGCTCCTGGGTTCAAATCACCATTCACTGAGCACTGGAGTCAGAGAAAAGGTCTTTGCACAGCTAAAAACTCTCAGGAACTCATAGGAAAGGCAGAGTCACCCTCGGGCCAGCTCACAGCAGTTGAGCACAAAGATACCGACAAGATTGGAAGCTGCCGAGAAATTCAGATTGCAGCAAGCAGTGCTAGAAGGAAAACTATCAATTAATGCACAGCTGGCTGGGGACATGGCATAGAACACCACATATATCATAGGGTCTGACTGAATTATGATGCATTTCCGTAGAGGGCACACATAATGATGTTCTTGGATGACAAACAAAGGTTGAAGTTATTTTTGATTAGGTAACAAGTGCTTCTTGGAAGTTCCTGCTTATCTCTGCCTGCACACCCTCCGCTCAGGGGGAAATGCAGCGGAGAAGGCCGAGCATGTGCTTTGGAGATCATATCTCACGCCACCTGACATTAGGCAAATTCCTTCATCTTTTTGAGTCTCAGTTTCTCTGTCTATAAAATGAGAACAATGATAGGTATCCTGCAGAAGTTGCAGAGAAGATTCTGTATTAGAATCTTTATGAAACACTCAGCAAACGCCTGGCACTCAGCGGATATGAAGGGTTCCGGGAGGTAATGGATGCACGTCTGACTGAGATTTGCATCCTGCTACCTAGATCACCCCTCCAGTGGCAGCATGTCAAGTCTCCCTCTCTGTTCTGTCTCCGAGCACAAGATGGACTGACACGGGTCAGGTCAATACCTTCTGAAGTTCTAGTCAGAAACTTACAGGGTGAAGAGTGAAGAGGTTAGAAGCCAGCAACTTTGTGGTCTTGGCTGAATTTGTGTCACCTGCTCTCTGCATTCTTTCTCCCCCAGAAGTTCCCATGAGGCTGGGGCTGCCATTACCCTCCAGCTCCAAGACGGTGGTGGGCTGCTCAGGCCAGCTCTGCTCTGAGTCTTAAGGAGAAGCACTCTTTCTGTAGATAGATTTTCTTTGGATTAACCATTCCTGACCCTTCCACCCTAAGAGTAATAAGAACCAGAAGGCCAAGATCAGGGGCCAAGGAGGCCATTAGCCTGGTTTTAATCCAGGCCAAATGGGCCTGCCCATTCCGGGAGAAGAGGCCTCCCTGCCCATGAGGTCCATCCTCACTCATCAGGGACGAAGGCTCCCGGTGGTCACTGGCACCAACGCCTAGAACAGTCTTACCTGCAGAGCTCTCTCAGCATCCGCAGTGTAGGAAGCCGGAAGAGGGTCCTCTATGCCTAATAAGCCCCCGCAGCACCCCCTGCAGCCATTATCTGATTCCCTAGAGGGATGATCTTTTGCCTGCTCTGGTTTTTAGAACCAGTCCATATTCCTGGTCTGGGCTGGGCCCTGGGTTATCACTGCTCCCTTACTATGAGCTAAGCCTTGTCAGTGAGGACTTTTTGGTGATAGGTGAAGAATAAGAAACCAAGGCATTCATTATCCAACCAACATTTACAAAGTGGCTAGCTCGTCCCAAACACCTCCAGATGCTGCAGATTCAGTTGAGAACTAGCCAGTCCCCACCCCACGGCACTTAACACTTAAGAGGGCCAGGCAGAGAGGAAACACAGACACAAACAGATGAATTGTTTATTTGCAAACAGTATTGCATGCTACGAAGAAAGTAAATGAAGACTGTGTCAGACAGAGGGGCTGGGGATTGGTCAAATAACCACAGGCTGATTTGCTATTCAATTGTCCAGAAACTTAATCAAGCCAATTTATTTTAAGACTGAACAGTGAAATTTCATGTTCAAAATGATTGTCAGAAAATCTGAAAGATTAAATTATATCCCTTATACTCATTTTTAAGAAAGGAAGGAGAGAAAATAGGAGGGAGAGAGGAAGAAAAGGGGGAGGGAAGGACAAAACTATGGTCTAGAAGAGTTTCTCACAAGGTAGAGAGAATCCAGTTAACCCAAGCACACTATTCCCAAAGAATTCCGGCTAATCAAGGATCCGCTGCACCGAATAAAGCTGTATCTTTTTACTTTGACTAGTCAGATGGAAAATCTAGGAAATAGTGCTTATATTTATATATTTTTTTGATTTTGAAAATCACCTTCTCTTTTTACTAGAGAAAATCCTGGCATGGTTTTTATAAATATTGTTTTGCTCTCACATATATATCATTCTATAATAGTTCCTTTTGGATTTACAAATGACATCCTAGTCATCTGTGGTCTTTATATAACTGCCAAAATGACGCATTTGTAAAAGTTACAATATTTTTTAGATCAAAGTGAACCAATTTAATTAAAATTGATTCACAGCATGTTATCACTGACCTTGCAAATAGTTCGGGGTACATCCTGGACAGTACAAATTGCTTCTGTTTTTCTTGATTGACTAACAAAAGGCAGGGACATATTTCTCACAGTGAGTCCAATTAAACTGAGTGTGACATGGGCAGGGCCTGCATGATTTAGGTGTGAGTCCCTTACCGTCTATAAAAACAACTTTTAAAGTCAAAGGATAAAGGACATGACCCTGAGCTTGGGGCAGAACTGAGATTTTCCAAATCAGTTTTCTGTCATATTAAGATTCACGATTCAGATTAAGAGCCTGGTCAGAGCAGAGGCACTCTGGAATGTTTTTGGGTGTGGCAGCCCCAACTTAGGCAGACAGAAAGTCAGAACAGTGTAACTAGTAAGATCTGGAGTTTCAAAACGTGGTTCCAGGGGAGACGCCTGAACATCGCCACTGGAGGTGGCAGTTGGTTCAACCTTTTCTCCACCATCAGACACTCACGTAATGATCGATAACCTTTGAGGGCCCAGGAGAGCCGTTTGTTATACTTAGTAGCTCATGCAACTACCTTGTCAAGTGTGTACCATTACAGTGACCATTTTGAAGATGGGAAAACTGAGGCTTAGTCAGATATCTGGGCAATCTCACATACTGGTAACTGAAGGGGTCAGGATTTCAACTGAGGCAAGTGGCTTGAGAAGCCACACATAAACATTCTGCTTTGATTCTATCTAGATTTTTTGTTATTTCTACCTGAATTTTTTATTATAAATTTTTGTTAAAAGAGAAAAAATAAAGATTAGGTTGTTAAAACAAACCACCACTCTCCAAACCAGGCTTAAAGACCACCCACTTAAGAGTGATCAGGACATCTCTACCTAGTGCTGCTGTACCTGGCAGAGAGGGGCAACTGTGATCTCCACAGAGAGGTGAAACCTTTGCCCTGGGAAGGGCCTTAGAGCCTTCTCACCAAGCCCAGACGCCTGGGACAAGGATGAGAAGGAGGAGACAATGGCAGTAACGAATAACAACAGCCATCACTGATTGAGCGCTCGCTCAGTGCTGGGCATTAAGGCGGCATTAAGGCATTATGCTAAGTACGTTAGATGGATTATCCCCATTGAGCCTTTCCCAAAACTTCTGAGTCAGGACTGTTACCATTCTGAATTTTAGAAGGAAGATACTCAGACTTAAGCTATGTGCCCTGCCCAAGTCATGCAGGATTCCTAAGTGACAGCTATTTGAACCCTCATCTATATGATTGCAGAGCCTGAGTCCTTTGCCGCCTAAACTCTATGCAGCCCAAAGGTCACACCAAGCTGAATGTCATGTCATGAGGGATCAGGTCAACTGAGTCAGAAACAGTCCGCTAAGAAGAAAGTGGAAAGGATATAGCAGTTCAAACGTGTTCATCGAGCCACTGATTCATTCTATTATTCAACAAATATTTCTTGCACGCTCACTATTTGTTAAGCTCAGCTAGTTCCACTCATGAGCTCTTTAATTTGTTCAGCAAACATTTACTGAATGCTTCATCCTGGAGAGATAAAGATAAGTAAGTCCCTGTCCCCAGAAGCTCCTGCTTAGCGGAGAAGTTACAATGACAAATCTCTAAGAAAAAAGTCACTAACCCAAACAAACAAATCAAACCCCACTGACCCCGGGCTTGCTTTCTGGACTGCCCCCTTCCTACTCGCAGGACCTGGGGGCAGAGGGAGCTCACCTCAGCCTGAGAATGGGGGAAACTGGTTTCAGAGCTCCTGCTGTTGGGGTATGCTGCCCAGGGCGGGCAGATCTGCGAGAGGTAGCACTTTTTAAATTCATTCCTGAGTTTGGGATATCCAAAGACAAACCCAGATCTTAGTTAGGGGAGGGAATGCAGATTGAAATGACAGGAGAGGGGACTGGGGAGCAGAAAGATGGGCATGGATTGATGGGTGTCAGGGTGAGACAGGCCCCGTGTACAAGGGCAGACATCCCTGTGATGCTTAAAGAGCTCTGTGACATGACTATAACCCCGCAAGCTGAATTTTACAGAACATTCCAGAACGTATCAGTCTAAGAAACACCTGCTATCCTCAGTTTTGAAGTACAACCTAGTGACTGTGCCACTGGTGATATGTTGAGCCTTTAAGCTGAACCCCACTACCGCTGCTCCCAGAATCTTCAGCTCCCCAGAATCTTCTCTATCGACACATCCTTGACATCACCCAACACCCTGCAGCGATTCAAGTGTTTCCTAATTCTGCTTTTTATGATATACATATACAAGTCTTGACTATACATGGATGTTTTCCAAAAGATAAGAATATATTCTTAAATAATTAAATTTATACATCAGAGGCTTTATCAGACACACACTCTGAGCAGGTTAGGAAAGAAAGGCTGGGACTGTCCTTTCTTCCCAAATCCAACCCTGCAGGTTAACCTGGTTCCTTCTTCTAGGTTGGTGTGATATTTATTCTAACCTGTTTAATTTTTCCTATCTTATGTGAATTATTTTTTCTTTTCTTTTTTTTTTAATTGAGGTATAGTTGATTTTAACCTGATTTTATTGAAAAAAAAAACAGAGGGGAAAAATAGATGAATGAACAAGCAGATGGGATGGCGCTGAGGAATGATACCTTTTCTGAGTGCTCGGTGGTTGGCAGGCACTGGAAATAGACTCATTTAATCTTCACAAGTGCCCCGCTGGGCAGCACCAGTAACCCTTACAAATGAGGGACCAAGGAGCAGAAAGGCTCGAAGACTTGTCTTCAGTCTCGTGATCAGGAAAATAGCAGAGATGGGATTTGAACCCAAATCTGTCTGGCTCTAAAGCCCCTGTCAAGGCCCAGCATGTATTCGGATCTCCCACCTGCCATTTGTCCAGGTCCTGTAGGCAAGTCCTAGATCTAGACAGAACCGTGCTTGGGGCTTATGAGGCCCTGATGAGAGGTCACCGGGAAGGAATCCTCTCCCCAGCCGCCTCCCCCAGTCAGATTATTCAACCGCAGTTGAGGAAAGAGGAGGAGAGGGAGAGAGAGAAGGAAATGAGCGCAACCTGACACATTTACTCCCTGAGAGCTCCTAGGAATGAGGGCAGTGCTCAGCTCAGCAGGACACTGTGACTGTCATCAGGCCGGGAGACCCACAGAGGGCATCCGGATCAGGGCAGAGGCGACCTGTCCAGGCAGGTGACCTGCTAGCAGAAGTCGCTCCAAGAACTGGGAGGGGCCCCAGGGAGCGGTGGGGGAGGCTCTGCCACCACCAAGTCTTGCCGTCCAGATCCAGCCTCACTTACTTGGTGAAGGAGTGGGGGAGGGGAGGGGTTTTCAGAGGCACTGAAATGACGCATGTGGCCAGCATTTGGGGAAATACTGAAAACCTGGGCTCCAAGACAATAGAACCTGTTCCTATGGGGCCTGTTCACGTCTTTCTTTCTTCTTCTTCTTTTTTTTATTGAAGTAAAGTTGATTTACAATGTTGTGTTAGTTTCTGGCGTACAGCATAGTGATTCAGTTATATATGTGGATATATATTCCTTTTCAGATTCTTTTCCATTACAGGTTATTACAGGATATTGAATACAGCTCCCCGTGCTGTACAGTAGGCCCTGTTGTTTATTTTATATATAGTACTGTGTGTATCTGCTAATCCCTAACTCACTTCTTTAACAAATACTTTTTGAGTGCCTCTGTGTGGCTGGCACTGAGACCACTGGTTGTGAATAAAACAGACACAGGCTTTTTGCCTTTGTAGTCGGTAGTCTGGAGGAGGCGGCGTAGATAATAAACAAATCCAAATGGTAAAATGACAAATTTCAAGCATTGCTCTGCAGGTACAGTGGCGTGGGCCCTCGGGAGTCCTCCATTCAGATCACAGTCTTTGGGAGGCCGTGAGCTGGAGCTGGGAGGTACCCTGACAGGCTTGCTCGACAAGACAGTTCTGTCTGAACTAGTTCATCCTGCCTGAGCAATAATTCGTGACAGACTGTGCTAAGAGACAGTCTGCGCTTGCCCTGGAGGGAACTGAAGGTGGCCTGAGAAGACAGAATTTGGACCCTCAGAGGGTGGGGGACATGCAGGTGGGGTAGATGGAGATGGAAAGGGAACTTCCGGGCTCTTCTCACGCCGCTCTTGGGCAGCTGTGGGGGTAGGTGGAATGTTTGTGAGCACCAGAGCAGTAGATCAGATGGCTGCTTGTTCAAGACTATTCACTCCTTCCCTCCCCGCTCTGCGGTGAGCGTGCAGTTCCCTGTCACTTGACTTTGGGCTCAGCTGAGTGACTTACTGTGAGTCAGTGGGTTGGGAAGTGATGTCACAAAGGCCCAGACAGTTGGGACCGCCCTCCCACTCCTCTGCCACGGCCACGAACAGAGCTTTCCCTGGACGGCGGCTACCCCTTCAGCCTGCGCTGCAGAGAGAACGCACAGACCGAAACCCAACCCGAGACCAGGAGCCCAGCCCAGCCGGAGCTCAGCGCCTTCACGTGACCCACAGGAGCCACGCGGACTCCTGAGCGTGAGAACGAGAGCTTGCTGTGGTAAGCCGTGAGGTTTGGGGTGGCTGGTTACACAACACGATGTGGCAATCGCTCATTGACACAACCGGTACCTGTGCCAAGAGGTGCTTGGGAGAATTAGCCCCCGCTTGCCCAAGCCACCCCAAAACAAAGTGAAAACAATGGGTGTACTATGCAAATACAGCATCAAAAAAATTCCTTAGCGTTTGCCTTCCTACCATATTCCAACTCTTGGCCCCCACAGGAATTCAGGAGCTTCCACTCGTGAGTGCAGGCCCGTCTCTGCACATGGGCGCGGCCGCCTCCAGGGACCAGCCGCCCCCTTCCCGCCGATCCTCGGCCGCTCGGAGGCTCTGATCTTCAGGGATAAACGCGGAAGCTTTCACCTCTCCTGTGCCTTGACTTGTCTGAATCCCTGTGGGGATATGAACCAAGGCAAGTCAGGTGTCTTCCCCTGGCCTCACCAGATGTCTGTCTACTAACAGCTCTGTGAGAACAGCAGGGCGGAGCACATGGGGTACGGACACACAGCAGCTGCAGAATGGCATCTGGGCACAGAAGGAGAGGAAAGGGGGTCTTGCGGAGGCTTTGGTCCAAAGGGGCTGTCACTTCCTGCCAGCGTGCTGCTAACTTCCATCTCTCACACACTGTCCCCAATGCAGGACTGGGAATCTGCTGTCAGGAGCATGGGGATAAGCAGTCTTTGGTTCTCTGTAAGTGTCCATTACATCCTTTTCACCCAGCACATCTGCCTTCTCTGGTATGTATTGCATTCAGGTAGCAAAAGATTATCAAATAAATCTCTATTCTTTTTTCTTGGTCTCTATCTGACCACCTCTCTTGCCTCTTATTTCTGTTTCTTCCCTCTTCTGTTTCTCCTCCTCCTTTTCTTCCTCCCCTTTGTCTTCTTCTCTCTCTCTTTCTCTCCTTTCCTTTTCTCCACCCTCGCACTTACTGTAACTAGACTCTGATTGGTTCTATGTGGATCGAATGAATATCTCTGGTCCAATCAATTGGGCCCAGGGTGCAAGATCGTGTTGAATAAACATTTCTGCAGAGAGCCCGTTTTCTGTGAATGGGGTACAACAGGAAGTTAAGGGGATACTGAAGGTGAGCGGAAAGCCCCGGAGCCATCTACCCTAGGCAGGGCCACCTCTGTGATTCCTTTGTACCTACACATTTCACACAGTGCTGAGTACCAATATATAATTTGTAGAAGCTGCAGACTGACTGGTTGACTGGTTAATTACAGAAATATTTTTATACTAGGAAAGAAAACCTACCTCCTTGGTGACAAGGGAGTATTAAGGGAACAAGATTCCTCAGCATCCCCAAGTAACACTGGACAAATAGCCAGTTAATAGGTGAACAGTCTCAACGCTGCTGCCTCTTTATTTTCTCTTCTCTTTTCCTTACTCCTCCTTTTTCCCTCTCTTTTTACTTCCTGTATTTCAGAGTTTAATCTTCCACTTTTCACTAGCACTTTTGCCTTGGCTTTTCCAAGCTTCCCAAATCAGGGTTGTAAAGGGAAAAAAAAGAATGTAAAACAGTGGGCAGAACACTAAAACCTTAATTAAGTTTTAGCACAATCTAGCTGCGTGACCTTGGGCAAATTACTTGATTACTCAGGGCTTTTATTTCCTCAAGCATTAAAGAAAGAAGGAAAGAAAGAAAAAGAGGACATGATGGTTTGCAGGCGATTTCCTTGGAGACTTCGATGTCTGCAGAAGTGTTTCCCGGGCAGTCACGGGGTAGGAAGTCTGATGGGGGAGCCCAACCCCAACTCCAGCCAGCAGAGCACCTCAGGTTTAGCAACAGGTTAAAGATGTAGGGTTCTACTCCAAATGGGACTAGCTGATCTCTAATATTCTTTTCCATTTCAATTAAGAATTTTGTTAGGTGGCTAGGAAAGTGTTCACAGGAGCTTTAAAAAGAGAGTGAGTGGTCTGCGTTTCTCTTGTGTGGAAGACTCTGGAGATCAAGGCCAGGGTGATTGCTCCAATATCAGCAATGACGCTCACCCTCATTCTTCCTGCTCTGCCGTCCTTAGCATTGGCTGCTGGCCCCCGTCCTCACAGGTGCCAAATAATTACTGAGCACCTGTCTACATGTACTTGAATGTTCACACGCATAAAAACCCAAAGACTACCAGGAGTTTCTCCAGGTACCTTGTGTGTGAAGTCTTCTACAGGAAGAGTTAGTAATTCCCACCTCTGGTGCCCACTCTACTTGGCTTATATGTGTCAAGTATTGTGTTTACCACATTATATTATATGTTGTCTTTCTGTATGTTATACAGATCTGGGCTCTTAACAACGGGCACTGTGTCTTACTCCTCTTTGGGCTCCTGATGCCAAATCCAGTGCCCAGCACCCAGTAGGAGCATGGCGCTTGTGGAATAAATGGATGAGTAGGTGGATGAGCCAATGCATCATTCTGTCCTCAGCTCCCATAGCCCATCTCTAACAGAGGAGGATCACACCCTTTGGTCATGTTTGTTTCCCCAAGGGAAAGGGACAGGAGGAACAGGACACAGCTGATCACCTGCAGGTCTGGAGCTGCAGAAGAGCGCTACGCTGGACATTTAAGGGACATGTGAGAATCCTCAGCATATATGTGAGGATTATAGGATAAGTTTAAATAAACTTGAAGTTTAAATGTATGGGATACAATGAGATCAGAGTGGGTCAATGGAGAAGAGAGAATAGGGAAGTCTAGGGAACACCCACATTAAAAAGTGGGTTAAAAAAAGAGGAGCCTGCAAAGGAGACAATAAGGAATGTAAAAGTAGAGAACAGAGGTGGGGAGAGCTGCGGAAGGAAAACCTGGTCAGCAGTAAAATGATGCAGTGAAAACCTACTGCATATAAAACAGATACACAACAAGGTCCTACGGTGCAGCACAGGGAGCCGTGTTCAATATCTTGTAACAACCTATAATGAGAAAGAATATGAAAAAGTATATTTATATATATATAACTGAATCACTATGCTGTACATCAGAAACTAACACAGCACTGTGAATCAACTGTATTTCAATTAAAAAAAAAGACACAGTGAGGACAAGAGGTTCACCTGCTTGATCCCCTTTCAACCAGTCTCTTGACTAGAGTTCCCCTCTTAACCAGAGCTCTAGAGAACCCAATCTCACTCTCAATCCCCTCCAAAAGAAGCACATTTTCCAGAAGATCAGAGGAATCTCTTCCTCATCTAACTATCACCACGGCACCTCCTTGGCTATATGGTAATTCTGCCTACAGCAAAAGCCACTTACAACTAAAATATATATTTAAGAAAAGAAAGCAGTTCCTGCTGTAGAGATTTTATGGCTGGATGGTCATAGCTTAGGTCTGTTGTGGGGTAACAAGGCCAAAATCAAACTAAGACGGGTTCAGAGGAGTAACCAGAAGCTGAGTCAGTTCTCCAGTGTTTCCCAAAGTGTATGCCAAGACACTGGTTATAGGGAGATGATGAGAAAAAACACCACCAACAAAAGAATCTGGTGGTTAAATGAGAACCAGGAGATGAGAATCAGCTTGCTGAGCCAGAGACTGGGAGGTGGAAGCTCACAATCAAGAGTGAGAGAGAAAGGTCCAGAGTTGGGGCTCAGAGGGCAGAACAGAGTGACAGCCCAGCATGTGAAACTCCAGCAGAGACAGACAGAGTGCCAAGTGAGCTCTGGGAAAGAAGAGGTGACTCACAGCAGGGACCCCAGGACCGTGCCCAGATCAGGACCGGTGCCTCGCCTGTACAAGGTATTCGTGCAGATTCAATGATTTAGGTAGGATTTGAGCTGCACTGGGAGTCACACAGAGAGGTATGTGGGAAGGTCACTTAGGGCAGGGGCAACATTTGAACAATAAATAGCCTGGATGTGGGGTTAGCTCTTCCGCAGGTGACTGCACAGGGGAGTGGGGGGTGGTGAGGCCTTAGCTCTGCGTGTTCTCAGCATCTCCCCAGGGAAGGGAGAGCTACTTTCAGCCTTGTGCTGTTTCAGGGCACAGCCCTAGAATGAAACAAGACCCACTGCCATCATCAATGCCAGCTTTTGACCGAGAGCAGCTGAAACCTGGGCCAGGCAGCCCAAATTCCCGCCTGGACAAAGCAGACACCCCGACTCTCCTGGCCTTGGCCACCCGTGTGGGGCCTGCTCAACCAAGCTCAGAGTCTCCATTACTCCGTGCTGCAGGCTCCCAGGCAGGGCCTCTGCTGCTTTGTTTTGTGGCTGTTGCTCTGAGCCAGGACAGTGATGCTGGAATCTCCTCCCCAACCGAGACTCTCACTTTGTTCTGCAGGATGGCACCACCGTTGTGCGCTCAGTCACACGCCAGAGTCATCCTCTCTGTACACTCTCCAGGCCAAGGAAGCAGGAGTTGCCGTGTCCTGGGTTTAAAAGGCTTGGGAGCTCTTGGGTAGGAAGAAGGTGTGGAGAAAGATATGGAGTGAGAATGTCTATAGATGTTGCAAAAGCCCAGCACCGAGCCTTCTGGAAAGACTTCAAATGAATTCTCACATTCAAAATACAACATAAAACAAAAAATAGAAAGCTGTCCCTTTGTTCAATAGGCCCTTATGAGAAACTGATGAAGGCTGGGAGACGTTAATTAAAGAGTCAGCATCATTTTCTGGCCTCCCTCTGGTGGTTGATCTTTAATTTCTTAGAAGTTCCCTTAAGTGCCTAACAGTTCTTCCTGACTATAAAAGGGGTCCCCACAGTCTACAAGTCCCCACGCCGCTACTGCGACAAATAATAAAAGTGCTGATAAAGGCACTCAGAGAAGATGAGTATGCCTGGTGAGGACTGCGGAAACAGGTGAGTGAATTCCTCTATCCCGGCTGATCCTCGCAGCGAATGAACGAGAACAGCGTACAAGAGTGAACAGGTATTTCAGCAGAAAATCAAGGAGACGTCCTGGGCTGCAGTCTCGGCTTGGCCATCTATCTGCTGGTCAAACTAGGTCAAAGTACTTAACTCCGTAAATGGAGATAATCACATCTACTTTGAGCATAGTTGTGAAGATTCAGTGAAATAATTATGAAGAATTTAGCAGGAGTGTCTGGCACCTGGTAAGTGCTTGGTAAGAGTTAGTGCCTCAGTGTGAAAAATCTCTGCCCTCCCTGTAAGGCTGTCCCTTTACACAGAACAGGTGGGAACACGGGTTCAGAGCCTTTGATCAGTAATTCCCCTCCCAGGAATTCACCTTAAGAAACTATACAACCAAGAGGAAACGAGATACAGGCATCAGGATATTCTTTACAAAGTTAGTAACAATACCAATTTTTTAAAAAAGGACTGCAACAATTAAATGATGAAGTACATTTATTGTAAAACATCCATTTTATGAACTATTCTGCCACCGTTAAAAATTGTTACAAAGAGGGAGGAAGGTATAGCTCAGTGGTACAGTATGTGCTT